GACGGAGCTCAAGGAGCTCACGTTGGACCTGAATGGGAACAGTGTCGGCCCGGGGCCTCGGAGCGGGGCTCTGCTCGGACCCCGGAAGAAGTCGAAGCCCGAGAGCTGCAGTTGCATGGGACTGCATATCATTGTGCCCTTACCCTTAGCGACCCGGGGGCGGAGCGTGGCAGCTTGGGGCCTCACCTCTCTCTGTCGCCCAAGGTGATGCAGGCGCCGCAGCTGTGGCTGAGAGCCTGAGCAATCTGCGGCAGCTCACCGTGCTGAGCGTTGCGCTGGTACGCAACGCGCTCGGCCCGGGCCTCAACGTCTGTTCGGCGGCCTTATATGCCTTGCCCCACCACGTTCAGGCGATCCAAGCCTTGGATGCTGTTCTGAGTGCAGCCCAATCCCCACGTTCGCTGTGCCTCGCGACTTTTTCCAGCTGAAGGGGCAGCTGGAAGCAGCACTTGAGCAGTCACGCGCCTGCGGGCACCGAGGCGACGAGGGCGGAAAGGCCGTGGCCTCCGCCCTCGCCCGGCTGACGGAGCTCAAGGAGCTCAGGTTGTACCTGTCCGACAATCAGATGGGCCCGGGGCCTCGGAAGGCGCTCTGCTCGGACCCCGAACACGTCGAAGCCCGAGAGCCGCAGTTGCATGGGATGGCGTATCATTGTGTGCCCTCAGCCTTAGCGACGGGGCGGAGCGTGGCGCTTGGGGCCTCACCTCTCTCTGTCGCCCAAGGTGATGCAGGCGCCGCAGCTGTGGCTGAGAGCCTGCGCAATCTGCAGCAGCTCACGGTGCTCACAGTTGACCTGAACGAGAGCGCGCTTGGCCCGGGCCTCGAGGTCTGTTAAGCGGCCCTAGGCCTTGCCCCACAAACCACGTTCAGGCGATCCAAGCGTTGGATCCCTGTTCTCATGTGAAGCCCAATCCCCACGCCCAAAGTTTGAAGAGACGGGTTTCTGCCCATGTCCACTCCCGCTCCCTCCTACCGCAGATTCTACCGGAAGTGGCGGGCTCTGCCTCCGGCCGAGGCGCTGCCGACGCCACCGCAGTGGTGGAGAGCCTGCGAGAGCTGCCGCTGCTCACGGAACTCCTGGTTGAAATGCAAGACAACGCGCTCGGCCCCGGCCTCGGTGGCTTTGTCAAAGCATTTTGGACCTTGCCACAGAAAAACCACGCCCCAGGCGAGGAGGAGAAGGAAAAGCTCCGGGCCACCTTCGATGCGCTGCCGGTGCGTCAGAAACGCATCGCGCTTTGATCCGAGGCCCGGCCGGGGCTCGGGCCGGAGTGTGGTCGTGGCGTTTGTGGGAGACTTCGGGGCTTGGACTCTTTCGGCTGCGAGGCCTCAGCCTCGGCGCGCTGCTGGTGGCCTTTCTCCCGAGCGCTTCGGATCTTTCCGCCAAAAAAGCAGAGGTCGCGCTGTGGTGGAGTCCGAGCATTCAAACTTGTCGCCGCGTAGCATTGCAGTCTTGCTTTGGTGTTGGTCTTGGTTTTGCGAGCTGCAAATTCGGGACCTTTGAGGACTGGGGTCAGGATCCGACGCTAACACAAGGGTCAAGTCGCGGAATTCGGGTTTGAGGGCACTCGGTGTCTTGCACCGACCCCAATGTGTAGCGTCCGAAGCTGAAGAGGGGCTCCGCCGGAGCTGCACCCTTGCATTTGAGATGTCTCGTGCGGCTCAAGTGATGTCACAAGGCAGTTAAAACAGCCCTGCAAAGCTCAGAACCTCGATCATCTGCTGAATGTCTGTGCCCTGACCCTGAACCCTCAAGCACCGAGTAGGTCATTGACATGCGACTCCTCAAACTTCGTGCTGCTCGAACTCCAAATTGTGGGGCTTAGTCCCTGATGCGGTGTCCAAGCGAATTGAATCAAGGAGCTGGGGCAGACATCTGGAAGTCAAATCGTGACATGCTGAAATAACAATCCCCAACACAAAGCTATCATCGAGGGTGCCCTGGACGTTGCAGTGTTCTTCTCAGCGTATGGGCTGCGGAGCCAGCAGTGAGAGCAAGTATACCAGGCACTGTGGGACAAGGTGTTCGGATTCATGAGTATTCGGCGCTTGAACCAACCCCTAAACCTTCCTAACCCCCAACCCCAAAACCCCAAACCTCTGACATCCAACCCCTAAGCCCCAAGGTGTCTGTCTGACAGAGTTTGCAGTCCTCTGGCAGGATCACAAGTCCTGCAGAAGCTTCGGGCTCTGATGTTGGGCATCTGAGAGGTCCCTGGAAGCGCTGAACACTCGTGTCATTCTTGCGTAGGGCCTATGGGGCCTAAGTTTTTTTTTTTGTGGGCATGTCACCGCTTCTTTGATGAGAGTTTCTGAGTGATTCGGGTGCTAGACACCGTAAGGCTGGATACACTTTATGCTACTGCAGGCCTGGAAGTCTGGAAGTCACAACACATGGAAGATCGTCGATGTCCGAATGCGCAAAAATATCTCTTCCACACCCCCGGGGTTTCTAACACTTCTTGATCCCGGCTCCGACATCTGAATTTTGCTTCGTTGGGAGGGCAATCCCAGGTAATTGAGCATCTTCGGCTCAATGCACAAGGCTTGGGTTGCCAGCACTTCAAGGCCAGGGCTGTTGACGCATTTTAGAGTTCCTCAAGTGGCTTTGGAACAGCCTACCCTGCGGACTCCCTAAACTTACAATAGCCCTAATCCTTTGTAGTAGTCCTTGCGGTAACTCTTATAAGAAACAGAAATCAGAAAGCAGCTTCCTGCACCCCACGCCTGCAGGTGGCTCCATGCCTGCCGTTGGAAGCGTTGCAGGCTCGGAGCATACTTTCTTTGCAGCAGGGCTTTATGGAGTTTTGCAGGGCTACTAGAGCGGGTTTTTAAGGCTTTACACGGTTCTACTTGACCTACAAGGGTTGCGTTGAGAATGAGGGTTTTGAAAGGCTTTGTTCTGAAGAAGTTTTATGAATGTTTTGTCGGATTCTACGAGGTTTGCGGCTTTGGGAGGTTTGAGGGGTCGGGAATGAAGATTGAACTTTCAACAAGAATAGAACCTTCACTTGAGTATCACAATGCTCATGAGGACCTGGGTTGAATATCGGGCCTATAGGGCAGGCATATTCTTCCCTAGGGTTCCCCAATACTGTGCCAGCATAGGTAGCTCTAGGATCGTTTGGTGTAAGTAGTTAGGGCTCTTTATGTTTCGAGTTGTTCAAGGGTGTTGGGGTCAGGCAGGTAGGATTTTCACACCAAGCCCTAAACGCTAAACCCAAAACCCTATACCCGAGTTTAAGCTCCTGGTCTTCCTAGTTACTTGCAAAGATAGCAATGACACAGCTCATAAGAGGCTTGAAAGGAAGAGCCCGGTTTCAACTCCAGTTCTTGAGCCTTATAAGATCCCTAAGAGCCCTTATGATAACCCTCAGAAGAGACCTTGGAGGAAGAAGCCAGTCTCAACTCCACAGCCTCCCTCCGTTTCGCCCCGGGCAAGGCGTGAGCTTGATGGGCTTGGAGGGCGTCGGATTCCTCTGGCATCCTGGCACTCTCTGTAAGAGTTCAGGGGTTGAAGACAGGAAAACAAGAAGCCTGAAGACTAATGGATGTTCCTGCTCTAAGGCCGATTTCTGGTGGCTTTTTTTTTGGTTTAGGGGCTTTGAGGAAGGATCTGAAGGGACGATCTTTGCTGGCATTTTTGTGATGGTTCAGGGATGACGGACCCAATGTGGCCTGCATCTTAGCTTTCCCGTTCATGGGACCTTTGGAAAACAGCAGCAACGAGCCCCTAAGCTAGACTCTTGTTGTAGAGCCGTAAAATGAGTTCTACATCCTGAAGTCTTAAACACCCTCATACCAACTCAAAAAGCTACAGACCCTAAGATACTCTACGCCCAAACGATTCTAGAGTCCTATAGTTGAAGTCCCAGGTACGCCAAGCGCATTTCTCCCTGGGCTGCCCTTGGCTTCATCCTTGGCTTGGGAACCTTCGCCTTGCCGCAGGCGATCTTTGCATAGGCCCGGAGCGAGGGGTTTTAGGGTTTAGGGCTTAGGCTTTAGAACGAGGTTGTGGGGGTCTATTTTGGTCGAACCGTCGTATAACTGTTTGGGGTTTACCCTTTTAGGGTAGGATTTTCGTAGAATGATTATAGGCTTATCGGGGCTGTGAGGGGAGATGATTTATAGACACAGAGGCATCTAGTCTAAAGGAAGCGTGTTTGGTAGGGTCCTAACGCCTAAACCCTAAAACCCTAAACCCTAAAACCCTAAACCATCTAGTCTAAAGGTGGCTTCCTCTAAAGCGTTTTTGTAGAGTATTTTGGGGACTGCTGGGCCCATTTTAGGGTTCCGCCGGTTTCCAGGGCGGGCTTCGGAGCCTTGAGGTTAGAGGGTACAGAGTCTCAGAGTAGGACTAAGTGGATTAGGGTTTAGGGTTCAGGGTTTGGGGTTTAGGGTTTAGGGTCTTGGGGCGATGTTTGAATAGTGCCGGGGATGAGGACGGCTGAGGTTGAGCGTGTTAGGTTCAGGAGTTAGACTTCGGGTTTCAGGTTCAGGGTGTTGGGTGTCGGGGTGGGTGGAGAATTCCGACCTTTTTTCAGTTGAAGGTGCTGGAAGATTCTTGGGAGTGACGCGATTTTCTGGACTTCGTCCCCTTGCAGTGACAGCCGCTAAACCCTAAGCGAAAACCCTCATCCCTAAACCGTAAACCTGTGGACGTAGACCCCATGGAGCCCTTCTGAAGGCCCAACACAGGCAAAAATCCGCAGGACCATGCACCGGCCACATAGACAAGATTCGTTGTCATCCGAACCTTAGACCATAAACAAGGGTTCGTTGGGGGGAAAAAGGTGCTTACAAAAAAACAAGGGTTCGTTTAGGGGTCCAGAAGGCTACTACAAGGGCTCAAGGTTTTGGGAAAGTTTAGGGTTAGGGTCGACGGGTGGGGGGGGGGGGTGGCAAGCCCTTCAGCCGCAGAACACTAGACGATTTGAACCCGTAACTCCTTCAGGCAGCTCTTGGGTTCAGGGCTTAGGGTTTATAAGTGTTGTAAGTTTTAGGGTTTAGGGCTTTCGTCAAGCCTGAACCCCCGGAAAAAGCCTGAAAGCCCAGAGCCCCCGAAAGAAGCAGAAAGCCTCAACCCAAAGGGCCCCAAGCACCCTAAAACTCCTAGAACCCCTATAAACCCCTAAAGGCCTAAACATCCCTAAACCCCTAAAACCCCCTAGAACCCCTAAAACCCCTAACCATCCCCAAACCCCTATTCCAAACCCTAAACAACCCCTAGAAAACCCCCTAGAAACCCCTAAAGCCCGACACCAGGTGTCCGCGATCTCCTCCCCGGCGCAGGTTTTCGGCGCCTTCAAGCGGAGCTCCTCAGCCTCCCGGGCCGGGAGCCGAGTTGGGAGGCCCGGAGGCCCCCCTTTCGTAGGGGGGTTCCGACTCTGCGCCCACTCGTCTCTCTCTGTGTGTGTGTTTTTGAGGTGTATTGAAGAATTTAAGGGTGAAGCTTGTCTCGGAGACCCCTTCGGGGTTGCAGGCATAGAGTTAGATGCATTGCCCTCGTTTTGGGCTGCGACTTTGTGACTGCATCTGAGTATGAGTAGCTGGTTGTGATCCTCGTCCCACAACGGATCCTATAGGTACCTAAGTTGCAGAAGCTTGGACTTCCTTGCGAGGAAGGATTTTGCGAGGGTTGGGCATAAGTATCACCCAATAGAGTAAATGCATTTCACTACTCGGCTTTCTTGCAATCTCAGGGCCCGCATGCTATATTTTCGGGTGTGGGTCTACACATGTTAGATCATATAGAAAAAGTTATGATATGTCTTGTTATTTTATGGTACACTATATTATATATGACCTCTACACGTAATGGCAGTGTAATAATGTCGGGCTCTTCGTTCGTCAACTCGCTTGCTATGGACATGTGAACACTTTCGCCATTTTTGTCTCAATCCATTAAAGCGTTGTCCTAAACTGGACAATTCTCTTGTTGGTTTGTCATGACCAGCAGGACCAGCAGGAACTACTGGCATCGCGATCAGCATTAGTCATGACTAATGACTCTTGTTAATATTTCTACTGCCGGTACCGGTGCCTTGACTTGACTGCGATGTCTCTACTTGGCGTTGCGACTGCTGTCAATAACTGAGTGTTGATCTCGTTGTTGTTGATACTGTAAGTACTGTCATTACCTTTGTTCTTCGTGTTGCTCTTCCTGCTGCTATCCTTAAGGTGCATTGAAGAATTTAAAGTGAAGCTGTCTTGAGACCCCTTCGGGGTTCCAGTGCTTCAGGGTTGAGGGCAGATAGTTGCATGCATTGCCCTCGTTTTGGCTGCGATTTTGTGACTGCATCTGAGTATGAGTAGCTGGTCGTTACCATCGCAACGCATACGACCTAGACTGTGTAGTATAGAGATGTTTAAGAACAGAGAGCCCTAGACGTAAGTCTTCTGAGTTAAAGGTAAAAAACCCCACCAACTTTGTAGGTTTAGGGTTTAGGGGTTCGGGTATCTTGTATGCAGCCGTCAACCCCGCAGGTGGCACAATGCATCTTTCTTGCTTAATTCTTTTTCCTGCGTTCGTGCGTTGCGAGCGATGTCCCTTTGCTTTGCCTCTGAACGTTTGCAGCTGGAGGCGACGAGGGCGTGCAAGCCCTGGCCTCCGCCGTTTTGGACCTGCCCAAGAACAAGATCGGCCCGGGGTCTCGGAGGGTGCTCTGTTCGGAATTGCATGCGACGGCGCATCATGTGCCTTTACGGCCTTCAGAAGCTCACGGAGCTCACGGAGCTCTGGGGAGAACTGCATGGCAACGAGCTCAGCGCGGGCCTTGGGGCACCTGGTCGCCAGGTTTGGGGGTCGTCCTCCGTCCTGGGTGCTGTGCTCTTTCTTTTCTAGTTCAAAGAACGGGGGGATGTGCCTGCAGGGATCCCATCTGTGCGACCAAAGGGTCATATTCACTATACCAGCCTTGCGGCCTAAAGGATGCCAAAGAGCCACAGAGATGCTGACAATGCTGATACTGTCCACACAGTCTCCCAAGTTTGCCTTCTCACCGCTCGCAACCGCTCGCATCTCGGGCTCGCCACACAAGAAGCCCAGGCACGGGAAGAGGAGGAGAAGTTCCGGGTTGCCCTCCATGCGCTGCCGGCGCACGAGCAACAAACTCCGCGGCCGGGCCGGGGCTACGCAGTGCGGTGGACGTTGGTCGTTCTTCGACTCCTGGCTGGGAGGCCTCGGCCTCGGCGCGCTGCCGGTGGCCTTTCGCCTGAGCGCTTCTGGGGGATTCGCCGGAGAAAGCAGAGGTCGCTGGTCGTTGCGCCTGCACCTGCACCAGTGCTGCAGTCCGAACATTGCAACTTGACGAGTTTAGTCGAAGCTTTCGTGATTGAAGCACTCGGTGTTATGCACCGACCCCAAGGTGTAGCGTCCGAGGCAGAAGAGGGGCTCCGCCGGATGTGCATCCATGCATTTCCGATGCTCTCGTGCGGCTCAAGTGCTCAAGCATGTACAACAGCCCAAGAAAGGCTCAGAGATCATCCAACAGCCTTTGTGCCCTGAACCCACAAGTGAGCGAGGCGTGAAGCCCAAGACTTCACCACGGCCGCCCGAACTCCAAGACTTCGGTCTCTGGTGCCAATGTCTAAGCGAATTGAATCAGGGATCCAAGGACCCAGGCAGCCTCTCTGTAGTACTACATAGACAGACTCTGGAGGTACAGTACTCTGGAAGCCACATTGTGACATGCTCCAACAATCCTCAATGGACAGCCTTTCTTAAATACCCTCAACATTTCATTTGCGCCTCCCAGCGTATGGGCTGTGGAGCCAGCAGTGAGAGCGAGTATGCCGGGCGCTGAGGGGACAAGATTTTTGGATCTATGAGAGTTGGATTCTTTTATGCCTTTCTGATCTGCATTTTTCAAGTCTGCAGTCTGCTGGCAGGATCTCAAGTTTTCAGTCTTCCAGTTGTAGAGGGGAGATGCCTGGAGCAGGTTTCGCCGCATTTCTGCAGGAGTCCGTGGAAGACGTGGAAGATCACATAAGAAACCGGTGTCCAAAGTCACAAGAACCTTTGACTCTTAACAGCCCCCAGGCCCTGTCCCTAAACACCCCGAACTGCTTGAGAGCCTCGAAGTTAATCAACATATACCCGAGGCGGCGCCCGCGGCTCGTGGTGGACCGGAATTGACCGGCTGCGACAAGAGCCGACCTTGCAAGGGATGACAATAAAAAGCTTCCTTGGAAGGCCGGAGGGCGCTGCCAGAGGGCCAAGGGCTTGGGCTTCACGGAGGTATTCGATAATCCGTGATCTTCTTGTTGTGATCCATTTGGAGCTGTTCCTGTTCAGGTCCTCGGAGGTTTTTTTCTGTCATGGAGGTTTCGTCGGCTCAGGGTCCGAAGCCTTCCGGGCTTCAGAAGCCGCCAGGGCTCAGAGCACGAACGTGGCTCGAATCCGCCACCTCCTTGCGGAGAGCCTCAAGAAGCCTGAAAGAACTTGTCTATCAGATTACCGTACCGTAAACACGGAAAGTCGTGTCTCGGCCAGCACTTCTCTCACCTGGGCGTGGAGCTGCTACAGAGAGGCCTTTCCTCAGTTTTGCAGATGGCTTTCGATCGTCGGCTTGCTAGGGCTCGGCATCAGGAGCACTGTGACGTTGTGGCTCTTCGCAGGGGACAAACAGCGACCTGGTGGCTGTTTCGGCTCGCAGTGTCCCATGCCCATCCATGACTGACATTCGCTGCCATCAAGTTTGAACAGAAGCCATTGTGGCACGTGATGAAGTCACGCTATAGCAACTATTAGCATCAGGGGCGGGGCCATTTTTCCTTTGTCCTGGCCTCCCAACCACAGAGAGACAAGGCCAGACATGCAACCGGCCCACTCTCCCATCTGTGAAGCTGCTTTCCAACGCTGTGAGCCGACTTCGAAGTGCTAGGATATGTCTTCTTTTTGCACCCAGAAAACGCCTCTGAACCTCAAAATCCGGCGGGCCGGTGCGCAGGCCTTGGCCACAGCTGCCGGGCCCGGGCCAAGCCGAAGGTGGGGTGACTCGTTGCTTCGTGGTTAGGTGTAGTTGCCAATTTTTGAGGTTTTTGGTTAGGTTCTCTTCGGCTTGCGTTCATCGAGCAGATGCCACCTGAGCTTTCGACAAAACCTCGACTTCATGACAAGGTCCACGGTAATATCCCCAAACTGTTCCTGTGACGATCCTCGAAGTCTTCGTGAACGGGCGTGGAA